TAAAATTAAAGGATTATTGCTACAATTTACTCTTAAAAGTTAGTTCCTTGAGTAAGCAGCTCTTCATTCGTCTCCCGCCAAAACATGGACCCAACCGCCTCTCTCGCCAAAGCTTTGTTCAACAACACCAACAATCCGAAGCTCGCGTGGCACCTCTTCAAGCGCATCATCTCCTCCCCCACCTCCTCCTCATCCTCCTCCGATCTCCCCCTCCGCTCCCTCCCCGTCATTGCCCGTATCCTTATCGACTCCAAAATGCACCGCGAAATTGACAGCCTTCACCAGCTCCTCCTCCTCTCTCAACCCCTCGAAACCCTTCGCCCTTGCCTCGTTTCGCTCGTGCGGATCTTGGCCAAGTCGAATCTCCCTGATAAAGCCGTTGCCCATTTCAAATCCCTCCGCAGCCGCTTCCCTGATAAGCCCCCCTCTGTGTATTTGTATAATTTGCTTCTCGAGTCCTCTCTCAGGGAGAACAATGTAGATTTCGTCTTGTGGCTGTATAAGGATATGATCTTCTCCGGGATTAAGCCCGAAACTTTTACTTTTAACCTTTTGATTTGGGCATTGTGTGAATCGGATTGTTTGGATGATGCCCGCGAGGTGTTTGATAAAATGCGTGACAAGGGTTGTCAACCGAATGAGTACAGTGTTGGGATTTTGGTTCGCGGGTATTGTCGAGCTGGGCTTGCTGGCAGAGGTTTGGAGGTTTTGGATGAGGTGAGGAGTTGTAATGTTTTTCCGAATAAGGTTGTGTATAATACTTTGATTTCTAGCTTCTGTAAACAAGGAAGGACTGATGAGGCCGAGAAGTTGGTAGAGAGGATGAGAGAGGATGGATTGTTTCCGGATGCCGTTACTTTCAATTCTAGGATTTCGGCTCTTTGCAGTGCAGGGAAAATCCTTGAAGCTTCTAGAATATTTAGAGATATGCGTGTTGATGATCAAGGGTTGGGGCTGCCTCAACCTAATGTTGTAACATATAATTTGATGTTGCAAGGATTTTGCAAGGAAGGGATGCTAGAGGAAGCAGAGGCATTGCTCAAATCTATGGAAAAGGCTGGTGATTTTATTAATTTAGAGAGTTATAACATATGGTTGTTGGGTCTGGTCAGGAAAGGGAAGCTCTTAGAGGCACGATTGGTTCTTCAAGAGATGGTAGATAAAGGCATAGAACCCAGTATTTACTCATACAACATTTTGATAAATGGGTTATGTAAAAGCGGGATGCTCCGTGATGCAAGAATGGTGATGAGTCTAATGGAAAGAAAAAATATTTCCCCTGATACGGTGACCTACAGTACTTTACTTCATGGTTTCTGCAGTAAAGGTAAGGTAATTGAGGCCAACAATATCCTACATGAGATGATGACGAATAACTGCTTCCCAAATACTCATACTTGCAACACTTTGCTGCATAGCCTATGGAAGGAGGGAAGGACATCAGAAGCAGAGGAGCTTCTGAAAAAGATGAATGAGAGAGGTTATGGCTTAGATACTGTGACCTGCAATATTGTGATTGATGGTTTGTGCAAAGATGGGAAATTGGACAAAGCAATTGAAATTGTGAGCGGGATGTGGACTCATGGAAGTGCGGCTCTTGGAAACTTAGGGAACTCCTTTATTGGCCTGGTTGACGATAGTAATAAAGGGAAGAAATGCAGCCCTGATTTGATCACGTATTCAACCATAATTGGTGGGTTATGCAAGGCTGGGAGACTTGATGAAGCGAAGAAGAAGTTCGTGGAGATGTTGGGGAAAAATTTGCCCCCTGATTCAGTGATTTATGATATGTTTATACGTAGTTTTTGTGAGCAAGGAAGGATATCATCTGCATTCCGGGTGTTGAAGGACATGGAGAAGAAAGGTTGCAACAAGAGCATTCAAACTTATAATTCACTAATCCTGGGATTAGGGAGTAAAAAGCAAATATTTGAAATATATGGACTGATGGATGAGATGAGAGAAAGAGGAGTCCCCCCTGATGTGCGCACTTATAATAATATGATGAAAAGTCTCTGTGAAGGAGAGAGAGTCAAAGATGCCACATCTCTTTTAGATGAAATGCTGCAGAAGGGCATATCCCCGGACATATCTACCTTCAGAATATTGATTGAAGCTTTCTGCAAGGGATGTGATTTTGGAGCCGCGCATGAGGTATTCGACATTGCTTTAAGTGTATGTGGCCACAAGGAAGCTTTGTATAGTTTGATGTTCAATGAGTTGCTCGCTGGAGGGGAAATATGGAATGCTAAAGAGCTATTTGAAGTCGCATTAGACAGGTATTTTTATGTTGGGAATTTTAACTACAAAGATCTCATTGACAGACTTTGCAAGGATGAAAAGTTAGAGGATGCTAGCAGCATTCTTCTCACGATGAAGAATAAAGGATACGGATTTGATCCAGCATCATTCCTGCCCGTAATTGATGGCTTAGGTAAAAGGGGAAATAAGCATGAGGCGGATGAACTTGCAGAGAGAATGATGGAAATGGAAACAGAGGGTAGGGTAACAGATAAGGTTTACCGAAATGAGAGGGAAACAAGTAGTCGAAAACCAAATAACACCTGCAGAAGTGATTGGCAGACCATAGTGCACAGGTATGGTTGATTAATAGTTATATGTGATTCTTTTCTTCTTAACTTCCGTTTTGGATTAATCACCTTCTGGAATTGCTTTGTGTGTATGCATGGGACATGTCAGTTTCTTTACTTATTTACTTTTGATTTGATATTTCCTTGGTAACTTACTTTCTTTTTTTTTCAGAGATGATGGCAGTGGAATAGCAATGAAAACCCTCAAGCGGGTACAGAAAGGCTGGGGTCGAGAGAATCTAACGAGTTTGCAGCCCCACACAAATGAATTTATCGAATATTGAGAGGAAATGATTTCCCTCAAAAACTTGGAGTTGGTTGGTGACATAATGGAACGTTACAAAAAAAGCCAAGAAAGAAATCGACCTTTAAGATCTCAGGTATAACTGGTTTTCTGCTATTGACTCTCTTTTTCTTCTTTTTTATTTTTTTATTTTTTTTATTTTTATAAATTCCATACTAGGGACAGGTTTATATCAATAAGAACCCAGAAGTACTTCCTGTTAAAATCGCAAGCAGGATTAGCAGAGTCAAAGTTTGCTGACTTTTAATGCTCGCTCAGCTCAATTGAATAACAGACTTTGACTGATTTTAGGAATCTTACAGCACACTTGTACCGAAATCCTTACTAGGATATTGAATGGACTAACTATATATATCAATTAACGTCCTGTCCATAAATTAGATTTCCCTTATTCATTGTGTATATTTTAAGGCATATATGACTATGGTGTCGATGTTTCCTTAGTTTCCTTTGTATGAGCTGCTAACATACGCAAAAGAAAATGTTCATGGTATGTAAGATCTCATGCAGCTCACTTCATGTTAGACTGTTCGCTTGATTTCTTTTCACGAGTTCTCTTTCACCACAAAACAGTTTCTGTAACATAGTTTTGCATTTTTTTTACTAGAAATTAACTGACTAGGTGAATTCTTATCATCTTCTTGTGAAGATCCAACCTTTTGTGGTCTCTTATTCTAACCTTTTAGCTACCTGCTATAGTTCCTTTTTTTCTGTCACAAAAGCTCAGCCAATCTTTCTTTTTCAGGATTGTCTTCCTCATGTGCTTTGGGTCAACTTGATTCGGCTTTTGGTCCTATGTTTTGGTCGCATATCAATAGCATTGGTCACATAGACAGCAAAGTTGAAGGAAGCTAGAACCACAGTTACTACCTCCAGACCGGCTGAGGATGCATGAGACAAGAAGTGTCATTCATCATTCGTAGACATGCTGCTAAGTCGCAAACTTGCCTCTACTCGATTCTGAGACCTCCGTAAGCCCATTGAAAACGTCAGACTGGCATCAACTCCGCTGTTAGGTCTCCGTTGGCCCTTACATAATATTTAATACGTTTTTACTACTCCCAGTTTTCCTGTATTCCTTTAGTTCTTTGAACAGATCTGTAATTTTAGCAATGTATAGATATGAAATATTAGTGAAACACTTCAAAAATCAAAGTATAATACAAAATTGCTCGCCTTTCAACTGTGTTGGGTCTACGGTTTTTCTAACTATGCTTTTTTCCTCGGAGGCAGATTGTATGCCCTCTTGTTTGGGTGCCCTTCCCATCTCCTCCTATTTGTGCGGTTACGGTTAAGCCACGTCAACATTTTATATTCTTATTGTTTTTTGTCTTATTATCTCTATAAAAAATCAATATAAAATGTTGACGTGACTTAACCGTGACCGCACAAAATAGAAGGGGATGGGAAAGGCACCCAAACAGGAGAGCAGACAATCTGCCTCCTTTTTCCTCTCCCACACTTATAAATTTCAATTTTTGCTAATAAATCCTTCTTTAACTTCCACCACATTGCATCGCATGTGCCATTTCCCTAGTGTCTGTTGACGAAAATCTAAATGAAAAGTGGATGCATCTCGGTTGTTAGATAAGACACATGGTTAGGGAGTCTAACTAAATAATTTCCTCATCTATGACATGTTTACTTATTAAGAATTGAGAAAGTAGTAAAGAATCGGAATTATGAATAGGAGAAGTAAGAAATACCAACCAGAACAACTCACTCTCCTAGTTGATCCAATTTCTGGTTTGAGAAGTTGGAATATTGATTTTAAAGTGAGATTAATGTTTTTATTTCATGTGTTTTTACAAACATGAACTCAGAAATTAGAAAGAAAAAAAATATATATATATATATATATTTTTTTTTTTTACTTCTGGTGCCCATTTCTAATAGCTAAACATTGTAGCTAGGAAAATTTTAGCAAACAAGGCCAAAATCCCAACCAAAAATTTAAAAAAAAAATGGCAACAAAAACTCTATATAAGATCTTAATACCTTCATGCACACGCAATGTGGAAGAAAATAAAACTAATTAAAAATTTTAATTAAAAAAAAAGATATTGTGGAATAGTGGGGTTTGAACTGTACGGATAGGAACCACAATAACTGACTATAACTGCCAATTCAGAGATATGAGTCCAAAGTAACCGCCCTTTGTTGCCCTACAAAATCTGAACCCACTCCAACTGTTGAACTTTTTTCCTCTTCTCCTATTTTCTTGTCTCTTCTTCCACCAAATCCACCCATCACAACAAGAACAAAACATTCCTCAATGAACAACACTCCCGACCTTGATTTCCGATTCCCCATATCTCCACCAACCCACCAGGACGCCGTCGTTCCCGCCGCCCCCGCCACCGCCACCGCCGCTTCTTCTTCTTCCACTTGTTTCACTGCAAGCGATAGAACCCACCAAAATCCCAGGAAGAAACGCTCCAAGCTGATCAGGCTCGACAACCCGACTGCTCCGAACAAGGTTTCGAGGCCAAAGTATGCAAAAAAGCCCGACCCGTCTGCCCCGAAGATCACGAAACCCTGCACTGAGTGCGGCAAGACGTTCTGGTCATGGAAGGCTTTGTTCGGGCACATGCGGTGCCACCCTGAGCGCCAGTGGCGGGGCATTGAACCGCCGCCAAATCTGCGGCGGCCCGTCTCGTCCAACATACCGCTGAGCGAGTTGGGATTGGCAATGGGTGAAGAGGACCACGAGGCGGCCTCGAGTTTGCTAATGCTTTCCAGTGGGATTACTTCTGGGACAAGTAATGAGATCATCATTAGTACTGCCGCTACTCAGAGTGTGAGTAATACTAATCTCCAAGGTGCACTAGAGGTGTTTGATGGTTGTAATAGTAACAACAGTGGTAGGTTTGAGTGCTCGAGTTGTAAGAAAGTGTTTGGATCCCACCAGGCGTTGGGGGGCCACAGGGCAAGCCACAAGAATGTGAAGGGCTGTTTTGCAATTACGAGAAGCGATGGGGAGGTTGATCAGGATCATCATCACCATAATGGAGATGGTGGTGGTGATGATGGTGATGGTGATGGTGATGAGGATGTGATGGATGAGAATCACATGGACTTGGGATCATCATTAGGGCACAAGTGCAGTGTTTGCGGGAGGGTCTTTTCAAGTGGGCAGGCATTGGGAGGGCACATGAGATGTCACTGGGACAAAGGGGATGAGACCCAATTAGGGTTCGGGTTTGAGCTAGGGTTGGGGTTCAACCTGCAGCATCCGTGTGAAACTTCAAAAGGATTATTCTTAGGTCAAAATTCTGGTGCTGGTGGGGGGTTGGACTTGAATTTGCCTGCTGCTGCTGCTGCTTCTGCTTCTCACACTACTGAAGATGATCATCAGCACTACTCTTCTTCTGGACTCACTTTGGATTTAAGGTTGGGTATTTGAAGGAATCTGAATTACTGAATATATATATATATATATATATTAGTGTGTGTATTTTGGAACTTAAATAGGTGATTGGTATATTTTGTAACAATTGATATTTGACATGGAAATATATGTGTACTTAGTTAAAATACTTGTTATTGGCTCCTCAATTGGGAGATTATATATAAATATATAGTGTATTAGACAAATTTCTCATTACAATTAAATTTCTTAGCTAAGAAATTACAAATTAGCTGAGTTGGGTTTGTTAGATGTTTGTCTTAATGCGTGTAGCACATTAATTTGTTGTTCATCTTCCAACGTATGAACTCAAATTGCACCTTCTTGCTAGTTTGCTTTGGTATTTGTTTAGTCTCTGGGATTGAGTTACAAGCCACGTTGTTTATAGGTTCAGTATTAGCCAAAATATGGTGTTAGCGGCGACTGGCCGGATGGATTTGTAGCTACAAGCTGTGTCATATTATACAGGAAAATCGAGTCTGAAAAATTAGAAATTCAGACGTTAGGGTTATTGAATCAATTCTTCTGTTCCATTCCAATAGTTAAGTTGGTTTGGAAGCAATTGTTAAATTGCTTTCTTTTAATTAGGTCTTCTTTGGACACTGGAATACGCAGGCAAATTAACAGATTAGTCCATGAATTTAAAGTAATGAATCCAGATTAGGTTATTTAGCCCAAATATGCAAGCACATTCCGTAAAAATATTATTAGATCAACTAAGGGAAATAACCTATCTGATTTTCTTTCCTTCTAATCTATCTGACTTTCGTTCCTTACTTTCTTTATAAGTTTCCCATCTTTTAACTGCAACAATTACCAAGTTTTAATTTTTTATTTTCCCCATTTCTGGTAAGTAAACGCGTCAAATGAGAAATATTTTGAGTTGGTTACCTAATCATGTATCCTCTTCGATAACTCAGATGTTGCCAAATCGTCATGTACTTTCGACAATGGGAATTCTGCCTAGAGTGACATTAGCTAACAAACATACCTATAGTTTTGGAATCGAAGCATCAAATATGATTAGTGTCCCATATAGCATGTATCAATAATATGAACGGCATGACGGAATCTCAAGCCGCCTAACCCAAGATTTCATTACGCAAATTTTTACTCTCTTTACAAGAAAGGCGGACTTCAAATTAATTAAATAAAAAGGAGACTTCTAAGGATGCATTGTAACACAAATTCGATTATTATTATTATTATTATTATTTTTAACAATTTCTACTTAAAAACCAGTCGCTATGCTTTTCCCACATTAATTTGTTGCAGATCATACAACTGGGCCAAACGTTCACATAAACCTTGGATTTAACGGAGATTTTTTGAATCGAATGATGATCGTAACAAATGTCAACTCAATCCGAAGAAAATTATGCAGAAGCTTTACATAATTATTATGAAGCTATGCGATTAGAAATTGATCCTTATGATCGAAGTGACCCACCACATTTTCAGCCTGATGAACACAAGAGGACAGAGCCCAATACACAAACAAGCAAGTGTAAAGTTAGAAGCTGCAGGAACAAAAAAAGCATCAGGAATGCAGTTGACAAATTTACCTTTTAATTTTATTTTTCAACAGTTTCAATTCAATACTTTCAGCAGCTTTGGCTACTGCTGATGCAAAAATACTGCACATATTGATATGGCAACCCAAATTTTACAGACAACTTGCAGTGAATACCAGCAGGAGACCCAACTGCAGAAAAGGTAAGAACCGGTGGAAAAAAAACTAGTATGCACACTTTTATCCAGCTGCAATTTACTACTTCTTGGTGTCATTTCACTTCTCGGATCGGTCTTCCTGAGTTGAGGGCACATTAAAGTGCTTCACAGATTTCCCAAGAACATTGAAACACCCAACACGTTGCAACTCTTTTGCTGCAATAATGGGAGATGCAAAAGGGAATGTAAGAGGCACATGTTTTCTATTTTTTCCAGATATGGACGGTGGAAATATAATAGGAACAATTAACAGAATGCTTGAAAAGTTTATATGTAACCACCATCCGGCTACAACAGTTATGGCAACAAGAAAATGCATGATTACCAGATAATTATAGAAGATTAAAAAAACTTGGGCTCTTTCAACTCTGACCCAACATCAAATGGATCACAGAGTTTTAAATGGGGAATAATTTTGCTCAACACCCTCAAGTGATGGTGATGCTCACTGTTGGATAAGTTTAAATTTCGATATCTGCGTAGTGGATAGACAAATCTCAAGATTTAAACTCATCCGATAGTAATAAGGGGTGGTGAGCATTACCACCATTGAGGGTGGTGAGCAAAAATGCACTCTTTTAAATGAGAAAGTAATGAATGATTTTGAAAAAGATAGAAGCCATGTATTTGGACGACAATGTTTACATTGAAGAAGGTCAAGATTTCTTGACATATATTTTGGGTAACTTCCCCATTCCGGAGTTACACAAAGACCAAGATAATTATATTTGTAACAAGACAATAAAACAAGAATTTCCATTAATGATTTCCAATTAAGGGATATTTGCTTAGCAAATTTTTAACTATAATAGATCTCTGAAAAAAAAAAAGAATCATAATACCTTCCTCCAGTGAAAGTTGAATTGATCTCTTTTCCAACTCAACTGCAAGTCTGCTCAGTTCAACAGAGGACAGCGACCGTAGCACTAACATAAAATCAAAATCCAAAGGGGAAGTCAGTACAGTTACAATCTAAGGAAATTCAATCAAAACATATTAAGGTGGATTTTCTCAATTCAAGAGCGTACTCTGGATATAATCCTCATGCTCTGATTGGTCCAATTTCCTCAACAGCAACTGCAATTGATGGAATCGCCCTTCCCAGTGCAGATTTTTTAGACCCTTTGGCAATGTCGCAGAAGTATGGGGATGGCAATTGGCTCCTGCTGGTTGTAGTCCAGTACCAGACTTACAAAGCGGGACCAGAACTGAAGGTTTCCCAGGCAGAATGGTTGAAGCTGCCACTGGAAAAGGTGCAAAAGCCGGTACACAAAAAACTTTTGTTTCCTTTGCTTGGGATATGGGTCGGGTGCTTGCGTCGTGGTGACTAAGTTTCCTTGACACCTGACACTCGGCATTAATGGTTGCTTTATCACATGCGTTATTTCTGACTGCGTCTGCTTCTGATTTTCTACGAACATAGACAAGCTGTGCATTTGCAGCACTGCTACCGTGGGATTGGTGTTGAGGAGGGCTCATCTGCCGCTCAGGTAAAGGTCTCTTGGTGCTCGAAACTCTAGGGACATTACTAGTGCGTCCTATATCCTTGGGCACATTTTGCAGATCTCTTAACACTGTCTTCTTTACAGGAACTGGCAGTTGTTTATCATGAATAGGCGACTCAGATTCAGTAGTTCCCATCCCATATTACTGACTATACAACCTATGGTTTGCTGAACCATCTAAAGTAAGAGACCTTGTGATGGAAAAACCAGTCAAAATTTGAAACAAAAGAGTAATTCGATGATTAACGAAAGCAAACTTACAATGGTAAACTAAAGCAGACAAGCTTATTTTACATAAGATCTCCAGAGCACGACAAACCAAGCATGTTCTTGATCAGAAATTCTCTCCTACAGACCCCAATGGTGCGCACAAGAGAATACATCGTTCTTGATATAGGTTTCAAAGTATTACACATAGTTAAAACCGTTGGAAGAGTTCATCTAACACAATATCAAAGTAATATCTTACAAGAAGTAGTTTGACCAAGTATTCATCCTCTGTAATTATCTACACAAGTAGAAAACTACCATATCTAATACAAGAAGGTGCTAATAAGTGCATTACTGCATTAAATAAAGAAATAAGTGAAATCGGCAAACAATTAAATGTTGTATGCTCAACATTCTCTCTTGTTCTTTCTTGGCGGGAAAAACTCAAGTTCGGTATTATGACCTAAATTGCATTGCAAGTTTCCTTTAAACTTACTTAGAAGAGCCAAACTCAAGCCTCATAAAAACACCAATTTTGCTTCCAAATACCTAACAAAGCACATTTTTATTACACCAAAAGCAGCTTAAAGGCTAATGAATGATCAAAATAACTTGCTCTATGGATACATTTCGATTCCTCTATTTAGCTCTATAAACTTTGAGATAAATAGCATCAAAGAAATTACCCTTATCCAAATCAGCAAAAACATTAAATGTAGTATACCGAACGTTTTATCTTTCTTGTTCTTTCTTGGCGGGAAAGACTCAAGTTCAGTATTATGACCTAAAAATGCATTCCAAGTTTCCTTTAAACTTTAAAGAAGACCCAAACTCAAGTCTCACAAAAACGCCAGCTTAGCTTCCAAATACCAAACGCTGCATTCCTTTTTCACACCAAAAGCAGTTTAAAGGCTAATCAATGATCAAATAACTTGCTTTCACACGTTTAGATACCACTTCCTAATTCAAACTTAAAGACAAATATGCATCAAAGAAAATTACCATTATCCAAATCACTGCATTTCCGCATGAATTTATCAGTTTCGAGACATGGGTTCTACTAAAATCGAAAATTTAGCAACACCCATCTGATCAATTTCACTTTAAAATCAAACTCCATACCAAAAGATCAACATGCAATTGAGATTTTGTTCATGTTCTACCATCACACAACACCTAATCAGACCGTTGAAAATGTAAATGCATATATACGAAAAAACAAGAAGAAAAATACCAGAACAGCTAATGATTCGAAGAAGAAAACGAAGATCTTGATCGAGAAAAAGCAATGGAAGGTGAAGGGGAAGAGCATTTACCTTAGCCCACTGGAACCGCTTGAAACTACGGGTTTCAGAAGCCGGAAGCTTTGGCTCTCTAACTACGCAAGGCATTTTGCATTTTGGTCCTTAGAGTCTTTTGATATTATATTTTTACCCCAGAAGGACTTGATTATCATCCTTTTCCTGTATCCTGTTGGGCCTGAACTGTTGCTTTGGTTATACATTCTTGGGCTTGACTCCTTTTCTTTTTTTAATTTACTATTATTACAAGAAGAGATGGAGAGTTCGAAACTTTTACAATAATTTAGAAGATGAGAAGTTTCGAACTAGAGAACATGGGTAGAAACTCAATACTCTATCCATTAGGATACTAAACCACATGCACGTGTTCTCTGACTCTATTGTGATTTATTCAATTCAAAAACTAAAAAGTAACAAGGGTGTTTAAAGTGAGAAAAATAGATGCAAAATGGGTTTAGAAAGAAAAAGAAGAAAACGAAAAAGAAACCCCGCCAACATCACCTACGACATCCTCCCCTACCTCCCTAACCCCAAAGACATCCAATGTTCTTCACCTCCTCACCAACCACCTAACCACGCCATTTGCACTTCCCATACCGCCCACAATTAAAAACCCAAATCTCATCCCACCATAACAAAGATGCAATACTCCAAATACCATAATAATAAATCAATTAAGAGGTATCATCTAATTAAGCCAATTTGTTCAATCCCAATCATTAAAAATGAGTTCAATGAGTATGTGTGCATAATCCTAGTTCTTCGTTCTTCCTTTTCAGAAAAAATCAACTATTTTGTGATAAATCAATTTGAGGTTGAAACTCAATGAGTTTAAACCATTCAATAGGAATGACAAATGATTTTGGCGATCGGGGGTTAGATAGAGAGGGTGTTTTCATGGAGGAGCGGGAATGAGATAATCGAAGGTATTTTCACTAATGGGCTGCCTTTTGGTTTTTTTTTTTTTTTTTTAAAGCCTTGTAGTATATGGGTTTTAAAGCCTTGTAGTATATGGGGAAAACAAAGGTTTCAAAAAAAATAAAAAAATAAAAATAAAAATTATATGTTGGTTTAGAAAGAAAAATATTAGGTCTGAATAAAATAAAAAATGAAGCTTGATTCCGTCATTGAATAAAATATCAACAAATAGCATAAATACAAGCTTATGATCACTTTCAATGTCTGAAAGAGAAGTACTAACTGAGCGGTTTAGTTGTGGTCCATCGCCCCCAACTGTTACGGACAAAAACCTTATGGGGGTGACTGTCGTACCGGACTATCTCGGACTGGACTAGCTTCAGGGACTAAGTAGGACTAGCTTAGAATAGACTAAGCTGGATTAACTTAATGAAATGTTTGGTACAATGTCAGAATAAGAAGTAGGATAGGTATTATATTTTTATTATTAATCCCCTCTTTTCTCACTTCTTCGTCCCACTCTCTCCTTCTTTTTCTCCCTTCTTCCCCATATCAAACCTCAATGAACTGGACTCCTCGAAATTTTTCTCATCAACTCCCTCTTGATTCCTCTCTATATCTCCCTCTTTCCTTCCCCCCCCTCTCTCTCTCTCTCTCTCCTAGCTGTGCGTTATTCGAACAAAACCCTCCCAGCCAAACCTCTTTTCCTGAAGCTTTTTTCGGCCAAACATCATCGACTTTTTTTTTTCTTTGGTAAACTGGAAATAGTATTCCAGGGCAAAGGCCAAGCAAAGAACAAACACCAAATATACAAGAATACCCAATTACTGAAGGAAATATTTGTGAAAACAAGTTCATTTAAGCAACATCTACAACATGCAATTAACAATTAAAGGCGGAATCATGCTTATATGCACTCAAAAACAAAACTTTACCCATGAAATTCAAGGCCTAGTGAGTGTGGTGAACCAAGACTCAACTCAAGAACAAAGTGAGTTGAGAAATATTATACCTTTGTTGATTCCTCTTTGCATAAGCAAAGGCTAGTCACCCAAGAGATAGGGTCTTCATTCCTTAGTCACCCAAGAGATAGGGTATTCATTCCTTACTTCTTAGCTTCATGGATTTCTTGGATGAGGATGGTAGAATGAATTCTCCAAGTTCCCAAAATAGAGAACATCTAAGTCTCCACACCAAGGAGAGACTAGAAGAAAAGATGAGTAATCTTGGAGGAGGGAAGATTGCTAGCTAATCTCCTCCAAGGGGCCGGCCTCCTAGAGAGAAAGGGAGAGACTTGTTCTATCCAATTTCCTCTAAAAGAACCCTAAGGCCTCGTTTGGCAGCTCGGACTGTACTGACTATTTCTGTCGGATAGGATAAATAGCCATCAAATAGTACTGACTAAATTAGTCGGGCGTTTGGTGTAGTATCAGACTAATGACCGTATTATTTATACTGTGTTTGGTACTGAGCCGGATAGGACAAGAAAAAAAAACAAATCTTTGTTTGTTTAATGAACTTTTCTCATATTTATACGTATTGAAAACCACACAAATTTTCAAATAACAATGATAAATAGTAAATTTCATACATCAAATTCAAAATATTTTCCAATAACATAAAAGAAGGTTCACAAAAAACAACTACAAGTCATTACGTTATATAGATTAATCCAACCACATATCAAAGTTCATAAAATATACAAATGCAAGTTGGTTTCACTAAGAAACAGTTTGTCCAGATAGCCAAAATATATGCATGCTGCTGCTTTGCAAACTCTTCCCTCTGCTTTGCTTTCTCCTTAAACACCAACAAACACAGGGAGCATCAACAAAACAAATATTTCCTGCAATCATAAAGGCCAGATGCATTAATGTCGCAAACATAAGTCCAAACAAACAATAAGAGAAATTTAACAAACAAAACCTAGACAACCCCACTTAAAATCTGATAAATGCAATGAATAAAATAACTAAAAAAGCTTAAAAGGAACAAGATTTGAAAGCCTAACAAGACAAACAACAAAACGAAGACAAAGCTTCTGTTACAAACCACTGACGTAAGTGCCATGAAAGGATCAACACACCACTGAAGTGAAACTAGCCAGTGTTTCATTTACTTAGTCCCACCACTTAAAGTTTCAGTTACAAACAGAAAAATGAACCAAGACAGTATGTTATTCTCAGTTAACATATAAAACTTATGAGAAAATACTACCACACAAAACACAACAATTTTGTACAAGCAGTAAATACACGATATTCCATATAACATACGAAGCCCCCAACATATGCAGTCTAACGACTCTAACATGTAAACAGATACCATATAACACACTTTAATCACTTCCTTTCGGCCCACATTATCTCTTCTTCTATTTAATCGCCCTTGACAATCTTGTAGCTTGCCCATCAAGTACAGAGTAACCTTCAGTTCTTACCCATCAAGTACAGAGTAGCCTTTAGAGTTAATCATCTGCACAAATTTTATATAATATCCCATTTACCCATTACTAATCTTGTTCATCTGAGCAATTTTTTTTACCATTAACGTTTGACCACTCCTTTAATTACTCAATTATTTTAACATCATCATATCAACAATAAACACATAACAGCTAAATCAAAGCAAACTTTCACCATGCATCAGTCACTCAACAAAAAATTGAAAGACAAAATCTTGAAAATTCAACGAAATCCCACTAACCAAATCTCAAATCAAAGAAAACCCACATAAGAATTTGCAGAACAATGATATGGAAGCAGCTCATTTTTAGCACAATTCTCGTGCCAAAATTCAACCCCAACAAACCCTAATTCGACCCCATCAACAAACCTTAAAATTCGAAAATTCTAATTAAAACACAAAATTACATAATCAATTGCATAATTACAGAGAAAACAATAACTAGATTCAAACAATTGAAAGAAAATTGCAAGAAAAAGAGAGGAGGGGGAAGAACAGAGGAAGGGGCCGAACCTGGGAAGAAGAAGAAGAATGAGAATACAAACCTGGGAGCGGTGCGTCTGAAGAGGAAGGAGAGACCAAGAGATTTTCTTGTACCGTCTGGAGAGGAAGGAGAGAGCGAGAGTTCGTTCTGACTAAATTGTCCCGTGCTTTTAGAGGGGATAAGGAAACGGGTGTTTACCGTATAAAGGAAGTGGGCCTGGATTATTTAATCCGGTGGTTATTTAATTCAAACGGACACCAAACACCGTACTCCGTATTATTAGTCCTATCCGATGTGTTATCCGACGTACCAAACAAGGCCTAAATGAATTTTGGCTATAAAGTTCTTTATATAGTCACTTCACTTAAGTGACAAAAAGAACCAAAACCCTATTTTATCAATATGGCCGACCTTCTATGGTCTGTTTGGGCCCTCTTGAATCTTTATTCATTAAATTGTCATACAACTTAAGTCAATGGGCTTAACATTCGAAGCCCATTGGGCCTTGAGGCCCAAAACTAACATGAGGTCTAAACGAATTTATTCGTTTGATTAATTAACATATTAATTAATCATAGCCATAAACAATTAAACCATTTAATTGTTCTTACTCAACTCCATTGTTTCTTCAATCTCTACCTTACACGGTGTACGATCCATTAGGTTCCTTTTAGCGAGGCAGTGAGCGATTGTTACTCTTAACGATCGATTATGAATTGAAACAACATTTCAATTCTCCCTTTAATGAAGATTACCAGGGCTTCCACAAACCATGAGTGACACCTAGCAATATGTCATGGCTACCTAAGCTAATCAGAAGAGGTGGAGAACCTATTTAGTTTAGGATTACAATGTAATACGGTATTTCTCTAATTCAATACTCTTGACCACATTGTTTGGTTTGATAGTTTATTCATGTCTACTATCCAATGTGATTCTTTTACTTATATGATTACCTTGAATGTGATTTGGAACGACTTCCTAAATCTCATTCATACTCTGGCCAGAGATTCTTAATCATATCATAGAGTATTCTCCCTCAAAAGGTTTGAAGGTTAGAGATCCCTTGTTGCACATTCACTTGCCTCCATGACTAAGTGGCTTAACCCTAACTATGTCGTGGACACCCTCTGATGGAGTGACTTTGACATAGTCAAAGATCAAAGACCTAATCACAAGACAACTATGATGTCTCAGGTCAAATGATTACTTTGCATTATCCTAACCATGAATTCTCATGTGACATGAGTATGAGAACTCCTTGTTGATCGTGTTCAATGAACTCATTCTCTATTGTGCACCTACATGCTTGTCTTGGTGTCAGTCACACCAATGACTCGAGATCAGTTACTCTCCCTAAGAGAAGACATAACATATACTGATCTTAACGGACTGTCAACGCCCAATTGGTAATCCTATGATCAGGAACGTTTAGGATATGTATAAAAAAGAGAATGGTCTCTTGAATCTAACTTCTTTAGATCACATTCTCCCAATTACATATTCCTTGGACTTATCATTTAAGCATATAATATTTATATGAGACGGCTTCAAACAATAATTTTTGTCTTTTATATTAAACTAGATTAGTTTACATGTGAAATGTCCGTAAAGTATCATCATATGATTGGTTTAGGGCACATTTCCAACAATTACAAGATAAACACAAATAAAAAAATGACCCCAAACCAAAGCCCAAAACAATAGTTTTGAACCTGGAAACAGAAAAACCAAAAAGACAACTCTACAGTCCTACAACCACAGCTGCCGCTACCGCGTAGCCAAGAAACCACCATAGACTAAAATTCCAACCCGACGCCATTGATCCAGCCAACCAAATCCGCAAGAGTGAAGGAGAAGACGACTCTAACAACATCCAAAGACCATCATGAAGATCGGGACAACAACTAGAAAACAAAGGAAACTAGTGAGAAATAACCCACCAGCAACAAAGTCGTCGAAGGCAACCAAGCCATTGAAGACAAATCCATGGGAAGTGGTGGTGCGAACACCTGAGTCGGAGCTCTACGCACTTCCCAGGAGAACCACATCAAAACGCATTGATGGTTCAAAGTTGCATATCCAAAAAAACTTGGAATCAAGGATTGTTGGAACCAGGTGGGAATGGTAACAAAAGGATGGAAGAAAAACATGGAGATTGATGGTGGGAAAAGAAAAAAGAGGACGGGAAAGGGAGATCGAAAGTGATGGCTAAAATTTTGATTTTTAAAGCATAGAGGGTTGGAGGAAATGGCAGATCGGTGCGGAAGAAGTAGGAAAAACATAAATTAAAAAGAGAAAATGAAGCAAGGAAGAAGGACCATCGACCCTGGCCGTAGCTAGGGCCGACAGCGGAGGGGGAACGAAAAATTAGAACCAAGCCCACACACGGGCAAGAAGAGACTCTCACAGTAGGGAGAGAAGACCTCTCACACGAAGGAGAGAGATTTTTTTAATTATCTCTGTTTAACCTCGTCGACTTAGATGAGGTTAGCACCACCAACAAAGTTCTCACCATCCCTGGATCCAAATTCGATCTTTGCATGCTCGAATTTGTCACGGTTGAGAATTCCAGGCCATTTTCCCACCATCTCCTACCCCTTTTTGTTCTCAATTCAGGTATAATCCTCCCCCAACACTCCCGGCTTCAATTTGGTATTCATGTGAAAATTGATTGTGAAACATATCTGAAAATTGGTTAGTCTTAGCTAGTCTCATGCTTTTTTGGAGGTGTCGCTAAGAACTGCTAGTCACATGGTTAGTCGACGTGAGTGAAGGTTAGTGTCAGCAAACCTAATCCCTGCGGGGGTTTGGGGACGGAAATGTTATATCCATCCCCATAACCACGAAATTAACCATATGCATAACCATAAATTAACCATTGGGTATTATCCATAACCATACCCACTGGGTAACGGATTTCCTATCGGTTAACGGTTATATCCATCTTCGTCAATACAAAAAATATATTTGTTCAATTGACGTATTATAATTTAGTAAATATTAATTTCTTCATAAAATATTTGATGTCTAAAATGATTCAATGAATGGATCTTGTGGAGTATAAAATTAAAGCTAAACATTGATGATATTGGTTGATCCTTGATATCTCCCATAAGTACCATGAATTCTCATTGATTTTGATTCATATCAAAACTTTTGAATTTTCCCACAAAATGCAACTCACACAATGCAACTTTTGTATTCTCAAGGTAATGGATTCGGTGAGTAATGAATATATATGTATATATATTAATACATTATAATACAATTATGTATAATAATATTATTAAGTTCAGATTCGGAGACGGATACAGATTGGGGACCCCTATAACCATATCCAAAACCATAACCGAATAATATTCACGATTTTTCCCCATATCCCAAATATACCCGAATTTTCATACCCATATCCAATCCATTCGGATGGTTATCCATGGTTATTGGGTTTTAACAATTATAATTGTCATCCCTACATGCGGGTAACAAACACAGGACTGGACTAACCCATAGTCCAATCTTGTCCAGAGAGAGTTAGGGAAGACAAACAAACATCCCCTATGCATTTTAGGTTTTTATTGAAGTTCCTCTCCTGCCACCTAATGAAAATGAGTGCTTTTTTTTTAAAGTACATTTTAACAAAACAAATTAGGTACATTTGAGAAGAAAAAAAAATAACGGGTGCATTTTTAGACAAACTCTGAAAATTTTTCAAAATGAAAAAGGAAACGAATTTTTTAAACTGAAATTAATGAAGAGATAATCTTGCTAAACAAAACCTCTAAAAAAAAGTAAACCAATTGAATGTGAGCACTAAAAGCCCTAAAAAAGTAATTTAAATTTATGCTTAAAAAATATATTAATAACATGTTAATATATGTATGCTAAAATGTGACGTGTACAAAAGTCAAATAACCTTGATCAAGGCATGAAATACTATAAAGTTTTAATCAAACCACATCGTTGGCCAGGGATGAAACTCTAATAAGTAAAATAGAAGTTCATTAATTCTTTGTTGACAATTTACGTTTCCTTTTTCCATTTTGACTAGGATTCTCTCCCCACCTCTTTCCATCATCTTTCATCCTCTCCTCTCATATTCTTTTATTTTGTCTTTCTCTTGCTATAAAAAATTAATATAAAATATTGACGTGGCTTAACTGTGACCGTTCAAATTAGAAGGAGAGGAAAGGGAGGGAAAAAAAATAGAGAAAAGAATCACACTCCTTTGCATTTATCTTTTAACTTTGGGTCGAAATCTAAAGAATCCTAAGGTGTATCATTATCAAATGATATTATATTAGGGAAATGATCTTAGCTTTTGGTAGGACTGATCAATATTAAAAAAATAGTACAGTGACAACAGTGAAGAGAAATTGAAGTGGTCATTTACTACAGTAGTAGAAAGATATTGTGCCTTTGCATGATAGCTTGAGTTCGAACCTCATCGATGGCTAGTAACCCTTTACCACAGTGATAGAAATGTTTTGTGTCGTTGCATGATGACTTGGATTCAAACTCCGTCGGTAGCTAATCTAACATCTAATCGAACGAAACTTATCATTTGTTAAAAAAAAAAAAAAAAATTAAAAATACGGTAATCAAAAGAATTTTGCTATGGGGTTGCAGCTCAATCGGTTACGAAGCTTCTTGCACCCAAAGTTCTGAGTTTGATCTTGCGCACATAAGAACCCACCGCGGTTGACGGTGTATTTGTGGCAAGTAAGTTGCTATATAAAAAAGGCCTTGAATTGATTGATAGTCGTTTCAATAATTCAACCAGACAGCAACAATTATGATTTGTTCTATGATCAAACAAAAATTAAGATTTGTTAAATTTGAAACCATTCAAATGTGGACTTATACATAACCCAAAAGGAGGAGGATTATCTCCTCTTTTAATCTCTCTCCTTCTACTTAAACGATTAAGGCACGTCTACATCTTATGTTGATTTTTTATAAACAAAAAGTAAAGTGTGAGATGAGGGAAGGGAAGAGGAGAGGAATAATTAAGGAGAGGAACCTACTCCGGATCAAAAAGCACTTTTGCATACCAAAGCACTTTTCAAGCAAACAAGGGAGAGAAAGTAAGAGAGAACCAAGTAAATAGTAGGGGTAATGCAAAAGCTTAGCCACAAGTAGTTTCACAGCTCCATCAT